CCCCAAAACCCCAAAACCCCAAAACCCCAAAACCCCAAAACCCCGGAAGTTTAGAGGGTGATTGAATGGGAATTATTTTGGTTGAGATATATTACTTCTTTTTTGGAAATTTGCAAATTTTGAAAAATTTGTGTGATAGATTTGTAGATTGTTTTGGTACAGCATTTCATCACAACCGGTCTTATTTTCTGAAGCTCAGATTTTTGGCTCTGCTTAGAGAGGTTTTTCAAAATTTTCATCAATTTTTAATAGCTCCAAGCTACCTTCTAATCCTGAGAATAATTAATCTAGGTAATTATCAGATTTTATCAAGGATGGGATAGAAGCTCATCTCACATATCATGCTCAATCTGAGATAACCTCTCAAAGAGAAGTCTGTTTGAACTAAAACTGATTAAATGTTTGCTACATGTTCAGTAACAATTGGAATATAAAATTAACAGTATGTATCATTTTATTCTAGTTCCTTTAGTAATAGAAGCTCCATATTCTTTATATCTTCAACAGTCTTAAGCATTATAAAACTTAATTTCCAAAAAAGAGAATCACTGGTGAAGAAGAGTCAATTTAGGACTTTCCTCAATGACATGAGCCTTTAGAAATCTGCTCAAGCTTCTGGTTAACACAAGTAGTATCTTCAGGAGCCTGGCTATGCAAGATCTCAGGAAACATCTGTTCAATACCCTTCAAAGTTTTATTAATCAATAATATGGAAATATTAGTGATATGACTTATTATCCTTAATGTCATCTTCGTCTCAATCGTCTGATGCATCTTCTTTTGAATTCTTGGGGTTATGAAACAGAACCAGCGACAAATAAGAGTAATTCATGATGCATGGACTATTGCTACCTTAGCTCCAGATGACGAACGACGGAGTCAGCGAAATATAGAAAACCAGGATTCTTCACAAAGTCTCAGCCAGCGTAAGTCTTTATTCTACCAACTATTTACACTAATTCTCTAGAGGACGAGGAATGCTTAGTTGAAGATATCAGGAATCAAGGATTCAACAACGAAGGGCATGATCCATTACCAGAGAGAGTCCCTAATTCAATTCTGCCACAGCTAAAATTGTAATATTTAATTTTATCCTAAATTTTAATTCTCAGCAATAATTCTAATGTTAATACAGGAATAACTCAAGAGCAAATAAGTCAAGCCTAATGAACAAATCAAAAAATAGTAAATACAACGAAAGCCAAGATGGGTCATTCTCCCTTGAGGAAATTTCTGACAGTCAAAAGAAAGGAGATAAAAGTTTTGGAAACAGTAGCATCTCAAAAAGGGTTCATTTCAAGCCTGAAAAGGAGTCCTCTAGGAACCCATGCATGTTTCGCACAGCTATAAAGAACTCCTTGGCTGATTTGGCAATACAAAAGGCGAGGAACCATATCCAAAAGAAAAAGAGGGAGAGTTTTATTCGGAGTCGAATGAGCACTACACAAATTCCTAACTATAGATCCTTTGATCCTAGTTATCATTCCAAACAAAAGAATGTTGATTTAGGTAGGTCTAGTGAATATTACTATTGATTTTAAACATCACATAAAATTTCTAAATTATGCATCTTGTAGAAAGACTACCACATCACGATGATAAAACAGTGAAGTCAGTTCATTCTTCACACAAGGTCCCGAACTTCAAAATTAAAAGAGAAGCAAGAGCTGCTGCTAGGAATTTGATGAACGAAAGGGGCAGAGAGTTATACCGCCTTCCAAACAGACAAAAAGATTTGATTGAGAAAGAACTTATAAGCAGAGCATTGGTAAGCTCTCTCTCTATTCTCATAGAAATTCCTTGGCAAAAGAAATGGGGGCATTGAATACGCTGAATCTGTAGAATCAGAAGAATCTGAGGACTCTCAGAAGCCTCCTCCTCTAAAGATTTTCCTTGATTATGCCCTCACACAGGAAATACAGAAGTATTCTCTGCCATATTAATGTGTATGTTCATGTATTATTTCAATACTTTTTTGGAAATCTGGGGTTTTGGGGTTTTGGGGTTTTGGGGTTTTGGGGTTTTGGGG